TGTTCTTTCCTCGGAAATATAGCCTACTGCACCTGATATTCGCTGGACTCCCATCCAAATAATAACAACAGCTGACCCTGCTTAGCTTCCCAGGTCAGATACAGAGAGAGACAACATCTAAATCTTAGCAGCAACAGCACACTCTCATCTAATAGTGTGGTCTCATGAATCCTCTTCTTCAGTTGGCTATCTCCATATAACATTTGCAAGGAGAAATAGGCTCATCCCAGAGCTTGGAAAAGTTACTTTTGAGAGAGCATAACTTCCAGAGTCCTCCCCATAGCATGGCCAGACAAAAGTAACTTTTCTAGCTCTGAATCATCCTTGAAATGTTATATGGTCAACCATTCCCACAGCACATCTTCCCATGCATGTGCTCACGCTACACTTGAGTGGAACCAAAAAGTTCAGTCTCACTAGAAATGGGTGGGAACTTTGGAATCCACATAGAATCATAGAGTTGGAAGAGACCACAAGGGCCATCCAGTCCAACCCCCCTGCCATGCAGGAACTCCCAATCAAAGCATCCCCGAAAGATGGCCAGTCAAACATCAGTCAAGTCCAGTCCAGAGTACATAACCCTGCTTTCAAAGGTGGGAACCCTGACTACAAACATCACACCACAAAGGCACATCAAAACAAAAACAAGACTTCCAGGGTACTTCATTGAAACACGTGAACATAAAACACCAGGGCACTCACCACTTGTGGCTTGCTCCTGATGAGGCCAGTCACTGGATCTTCATGATGCTTTGGACATCGGGGCAGCTTCGGCTCTGAAGTGGTTGGCGTGGCGGGTGAAGATCTGGGTGTATCCACAGTGCCAGCGGAGGACGGCTCCCCTGAACTAAGGGTCAACATGTAGTGCTTGGTGACATCCTCCAAGGATGGAGCCTGAAGAACTGGGTAGGGCTTCAAGGGAAGGCGTGAGAGCCCTGGAGGGCCAGCATGGACATTCTGATTCAAGGAAGTCGGTAGACTGGTGGCATCTCCAATCGGGATGAAGGTGGCGGGCTCACTGGTATGGCGGACATGTTTGGAAGCTGGCCTCAATCGACTCAGAGAAGCTGGAATGCTGGAGGTTGCAGGGGCCTCCTCATTTCTACTTTCCTGGCCGTTCACCCTGTTGGTGCGCTTCTTAGAGCTTCGGCGGACTATCCGGGGAGATAGAACATCCGCCAGTTTGGGATCAAAGTTGTAATTTTTAGTCCCGTCAACCATGTCGCCCTCTGGTGGCAGAGGCAAAACATGCTCAGACAGGGAGCACAGACGGCCTACTTCCGGTCCCTGCAGCTTATCCCTTTGTTCAGAGAGGATGGGTTCGCTGCTGGATGGAGGGATGCTCTGGTCCATCTCGTTGATGGGTTCTCCAGGACCATCGAACCCCGCGTTGGCGAGCTCCCCACGGCGACTGGGATCACTGAAGGATTTCTTCTTGATGGTCTTCCCGTTCCCCTTCTCGTCGATCACTTTATCCATGGCCCCAGGCTGGCTGACAATGTTCTGGATCACGGTGTTGTAGTCCTTGACGCCGTCGCTGCAGACGGACAAGTCACTGGCGGCACTTCCCGCACATTCGGACAGGGCCACCGCTGAGGATTCTGGGATGCCAGGCTTTGAATTCAGCGACCCAAGGAGGTTACTGTCAACTGAGAAGTTCGTTGAGTCCTCAGTGATGGAGCACCTTCTGTGGGGCATGGGGTCACTCAAAGATCGGTAGGTTTCCCCATTGGCTTCCCCGTTGCTACCATTACTAGACTCGGAGCCATTGTTTCCCACCGATGGAAACTTCCTCCGGCGTCGAAGGGCACTGGGAGTTAGTGGTGCCTCTAGCAACCCCTGAGGTCCCATTTTGTTATTGGGAAGGGGTTCATCCTTCTCATTATTTGGTTTGGTTGCATGGCTTTGAAGCAGCATCTCATTCATCTCTACCTGGTTGGTTTGACTTCCTCTTCTTTGGTTTGCTGATTTCCAGGCCACAACCGACGGGTTGAGATAGCTATAGGGAGGGCTCGTCTCCACTTCAGTTACAATCCCCTCATCGGTCATACTGGATTCGGGACCTGAGAGTTCTTCTAAGGACTTCCCACAGGGAAGGTTGCCTTTGGAGACGACTTTCTTCAAGCCCTGGTCATCGCTACCTTCCAAGATGCCCTCCTTCGGCATTTCTGTGTCCTTTCCTCCCCGTTTCACGTTGCCACTGTCCTTTTGGTCCGAAGCAAAGTTGTAATCGTGCTGGGAGCCGATCTTACTTATCTTCTCAAAGACCTGCCTCGCTTCTTGGATGTATTGGTCTTGGATGATGACGGGCAAGCCATCTCCCTCCCTGTCTCGGCCAACTTCACTGTCCGAAAGCCCACCGTCGTCGTGGTCGCTGGCGGCCGTGCTCAGGTGCAGTTCTGAAGAGCTTTGTTTCATGGTATTCTGGAGGAGGAACCTGCGAGGTACGGGCTTGTCGGAACAGGTAAAAGATTTGGCCCGCCTCAGGGTGGCGGTGAGGTCTTTCAAGGTGGGACGGCCACCCGGTGCCCAGCGGTTGGGTGGCTGAGCTTCGCTTTCGGATCGCCCCACCAGCTGGTGCCCAGCAACGCTCTGGTGGTATCTCTCATACCTGTGGCTGGTCCCCGAAGCTGCCTCCTCGGGTTCGTTGGCCCGGCCGCCTTTCTTCCTGGCCTTCAGCTCAGAGAGGTCCGATTTCAGGAAGCTGAGCAGGGCCAAAGTCTCCGTCGCAATGTCAGGGTTGGACATGGACTTCCTGTGCTTGGAGGACTCCGCCGCCTCAAGGCCACAGCGATGGAGGTTCTCAAAGGAAGGGAGCTCCCGTTTTGTCTTCGCCATCCCCGACGGCAGCTTTGGACGGGTCCGGACCTGCGGCTGGAACCTGGCCAGGCTGTCGCTTTGGCTGAAGCTGGGCGAGCGGAAGACCCCGAGGCTTCCCGGGTAGCTCCGACCTTGGCCGGCCCAGGAGACCCCCAAGTGGTCTTCCTCTTTCAGGGTCTCGGTACTCGAGTACCGGCTGCTGCTTCGGGAACCGGAAGGGCTGGGCGCAAAGGGGGGGATGCTCACTTTGGAGACCCTGGAGACGTGGGGGAGAGGAGACGCCGAGGACAGGGGCCCCGCGGTGCCTAGCAGCGCGTGGCCGCCACCGCCACTGCCGCCGCCTTCCGACAGGCCCCTCTGGGAAGAAAGCTTGTGCCCCTCTGGGTTGGCCTGGTAGGGCAGAGGGGCGGCAGGAGTCCTCCTAGCCCTCTCCTCCTCCGGGGAGACATAGTGGCACAAGTCCTCCTGGGCCTTCAGGTACCACTCCATGCTTGCTGGGCTGCCTCCTGGCAATGCCCCCACCTCCTCCTCCTCCTCCTCCTCCTTCCTCTGTGGCTTCTGGGAGGCAGAGAGGGCTCCTTCCCCTTCCTCTTCCTCCTCTTCCTCGCTCCCTGCCAACCTCTGCCCCCTGCTGCCCCCAACTGTGCCAAGGCTGGGCTCTGAGGGACCCT